GCTGGCTTGCATCCGATGAAGGTGTTGCTGTGTGTTTGGTGGGATCGCAAGGGAATTATTTACTTTGAGCTGCTCCGACGCGGCGAAACAATCACGGCGGACAAGTACTGTGAGCAACTAACTAGACTCGCTGCAGCTATTCGAGAAAAACGTCCGATTTTGGCCAATCGAAAAGGCGTCATCTTCCACCACGACAATGCTAGGCCACACGTCGCTCAACAGACGCTGCGAAAACTGCAGGAGTTGCAAGGGGAAATTCTGCAGCACCCGCAGCAACCGATATTCTCCAGATATTGCGCCTTCAGATTTTTATCTGTTCCGGTCTTTGCAGAATAGTTTAAATGGCAAGAATCTCAATTCCGAGGAAGCTGTCGAAAACCACCTTACAAACTTTTTTCAAGAAAAAACAAGTTCTTTCTTCAAAAATGGAATCGACAAGCTTATAGATCGTTGGAAAACCATTGTAGAAAAGAATGGAGACTATATAATTGATTAATAAAAGTGTTATCTCTAAAATATAATCTATTGAAGTTTATATTTAAATCGGGCACGAACTTATGCAATCACCTGATATAAAAGTATATAAATCTTGCTCGATATTTTTCTTGATATAAAAATTTTTATCTTATTGCAAGACATCCTGCATAACTATCCGGGAACTTAGAGAAAAATTTCTCTAAAAATGGAAGAAAAGTTCTTTAAGAAATCTATGGAAATACTCGGAATCGTACTCCATGCTGAGAAAGCAAAAGTTTCCGTTATATATATATCTGCTTATACATGTTTATTTATTGTTTTATAAGTATATTTCTTGATTATATCTGAATATTATCTAAATTATAGCGCCAACCATGAAGAAAGCACATGTTATATTGTTTTTTTTTTAACACATCGCGATATCCGAACCTTCAAGGGTTTATAGAGGGTTAATTTTTTGGTGTGAGATTAATTGTCTTATATACGAAGGCCTCTCATCCCTTATCGAACCAATGCACTGCGGGCCTCGAGGTACAAGACACAACTGTCGCTTTTTAAATGGTGTTTAAATCTATCGTATTTGTTTGTCTGTCTCTCGTTTGACATTACGCGCGCGGTACCACGATGTGTTGTGTTGACATGTGACGTGTTCGTGACGTGTGTATTAGCGCGATGATTATATTTTCTTTAAACTGTCCACCAACGTGAGATACGCGTGATGCAAGCTTTCTGTGTCGCTCTGCAGGAAGGTCCGAACATGGGACCGAAACGTTTATCAATAAAGAAGATACACAAAGAAAACAATCTGCGCAATTCTTACCGCGCTCAGGCTCATAATTAGTCATTATTTATTTCAATATTGATTATCAAAGCCTTTAATTTATTATTAGTACTGTAACGTTTCACCTTTCCCGACGCCCGGATCAAGGCTCGCCGGTGCCAGGATTCGGGAGAAGGGAGAAACTCTAATTCACTCTTCCTCGGTATAAGCGGTTAAACAATTAGTTTATTCAAATAGTTATTAGAGATCGGACACTGAAACCTATATTATATGCACAAGGTTCTATGCGTTGGTTGGTGCGCGTAAAGCTCGGGAAGCGAGCGCGGCTCATGCGGATGTGTTCGGTGGTCGCGGTATTTGCATGCAAGCAATTATCGTTATCCTAAGACAGACAGAATAGATCTTAAATACTACGAGGTGTCGCGTGGCCTTTTATGTAATTCCAACCGCCTGATCGCCTTATCCTTAGAAGGACGGGGCGTCGGCACTTTCTGCGGCTTATCCTTAGAAGGACTAGCGCGCTTGTGTAGTCTAAAGGCCGTGTGTAAAGGCGAAGTAGACGCGACACTGGCGGAAATCCCTATCCGGTTAATTAACTCTATAATTACAAGGTTCGGCCTGGGGGCCGGTCTGGATCCGATATGTACAAAGCGGTCTTACGGTCTAACGGGTCGCGGTATATATACAAAACGGTCTTACGATCTATCTGGACGCGGAGAACAAAACGGTCTTACGGTTTAACTGGTCGCGATATATACAAAATGGTCTTACGGTCTATCTGGACGCGGAGAACAAAACAATCTTACGGTTTAACTGGTCGCGGTATATAGAAAACGGTCTTACGGTCTCTATCTAGACGCGGAGAACAGAACGGTCTTACGGTTTAACTAGTCGCGGTATATACACAACGGTCTTACGGTCTATCTGGACGCGGAGAACAGAACGGTCTTACGATTTAACTGGTCGCGGTATATACAAAACGGTCTTACGGTCTATCTGGACACGGAGAACAGAACGGTCTTACGGTTTAACTGGTCGCGGTATATACACAACGGTCTTACGGTCTATCTGGACGCGGAAAACGCGGTACGGTCTTACAAGCTAGTAGGATGTGCCGTCCCAGCAACCGGGAAGCCCGGCATAACCACGGGTAGCCCGTGACCTGAGTTAACGCGGGGTATCAGGATGCGCCGTCCCAGCAACCGAGAAGCCTGGCATAACCACGGGTAGCCCGTGACCTGGTGTAACGCTAGGTATCAGGATACGCCGTCCCAGCAACCGGGAAGCCCGGCATAACCACGGGTAGCCCGTGACCTGATTTAACGCGAGAGTCGGTTTCGGATCAGGAGTTGTACGTGATAGGACTCGGGATCGGGAACTGGTAACGCTACGCTCGCCGGACCGCCTTATATACCGGCGGCCGGCCTCCCACTCACGCGATTCGGCGCGTGGTGGGACGGTCCCCACGGTGAGGCCGCGACACGGGTGTGGGAGCTTAGGGGCGCCATAGGCGCCGAGCCTCGGAATGCGAGCGGCTGGTCGGCCCGCGAGGCTATTCGTAACGGTATCGTTACATTATTAATAAACTTTCACATATAATAGATGGATTAATCCAACCATATTATAAAGAATGTTTAGCCGCTTAGAACGCTAATATTCAATAAAGCATCACTACTGTTCGCAACCAAACTGCAAGCGGAAAGAAAGGGCACAAAAGCAAAAAAATCTCCTTTATTCTTTAATCTTACTTTATAGATAATAATATCTGTTAATAACTGACAATAAATGTTAGGTAAGATCCGGTTTGCAATTGTCCCTCTCACATGGCGCGCATCAGCGCGTAGATCATTAACAATTATTTGTAGAAAATATCGAAAATAGAGATAATGGTTCAAATGGCGTCGACATGTTCATTACCTTGATTTTATCCTTAAAAAGAAGATGCAAATTTTAAGTTATAAATATATGAAGAACAAAGATGCTGAGTAAGAAATTTGAAGTTGCAACGATTTTATATAAATGCATTTTACGAAATATAAAGAGTATAATAGAATAAAATAAATATTACTCTTATAGTAATTTATTTGTATTATAAATGATTCAAATGTCTTGGCAACTATTTTACTTGCTCATTAATTACTAGATATATCATAATATGATACATAGCGCTAATAATCATCACACGTAATGGTAATTACGCAGTGTTAGAAAAAACTAATAATAGTGAAGAATTAATTCTTTGGCCTTTTTTTAACGTTTAAAATTTAAATTTGTTAAAAATTAAGTACACTTTCACAATTTTTATTCTATGCATATTGCGCAAAAATATTCGAGCATCATGATATTTAGTTAAGAATACGAAACTATATTTTTAGCTAATTTAGAATTTTATTGTGCAGCAATTTATGTAAGCAATTTACTATCTTCTTTAACTTATAATTAATTTATGTACATATGTATACAAAATATAACTGCATGACAAAAGAATGCTATTTTTAAAGAATTTAAAATGGTTGCATTTGTACATACATATATATTTGTAATCGATTTGGACCATATCGGTCGAAAAGACAGTACTTTATTCTTTCTTTATAAGTGATATATTTGCTTCAGAAATAATCTTCTTCGATTAACATTTTGCAGCATAATATTTTTAACAATTCTTCACAACATTAAAAATTTTGACAAGATTACAACCATTAATTTGACACGCAATAATATGTACCGATAAGAGATTGATGATGAGCACATCATTAAAAATTAAAAATAAATTGAATTAAATTATGTTATGATAATTTTACAATAGCAAGTAATTATATTGCAAAATCACAATATCAAACGACGCGGCAGCATCGCGACGCCAAGTACATAAAAGAAAACTGACTGGCTGTCAACAGTTTGCCTATGTACAGGCGCCACGGCCGTACCAAGTAGCTTATCCGGAGTTGTACATCTAATAAACTTTCAAATAAAATACCTCAAGAACTAAAGCCAAAATCAAAAATGTAAAGGCACTTTTATTATATTATGTGGGTACAAACTTTCGATTGCGACCAGTTCGAATAAGATTGGTGCAGTCAATCCTGAGAACTGATGATTGTATCGAGCGAAATACTAGAATTGTGACATTTATTTTTTCCAACTTTCCAACTTTCAGACTCAGGTACGTATGCTCGCACACACACACACGCAAAGCGATTTTGTTCCTCAAGGGGCATTCACATCGCTCATGTACGATTATTCTTTCGTGTATACTCTTTTATAAAATTATAATTTTAAAAATTTATGATAAATAAGGGAGAGAGGGAGAGAAAGAGAGAGAGAGAGAAAGAGAGAGAGAGAGAGGCATCATTTATTGGGCGCTCCGGGATAGCATACCCTAAAGCGCTCGGCAGATTTACAAATAGTCAAGATACAAAAAAATAGAAAGTAATAAAAGGAGGAACAAAAATAAAATAAAATAAAATAAAAAAATAAAATAAAAAATAAAAATAAAACGATAACAAAAGTAAGAGTAAAGTAAAATATGTCTGCAGTAGAGTAAGCTAAGCATAATTAATGTATGTGAGTACGAAATAAGTGTGTGTAAGAGTATGTGTACAGAAAGTGTGCGAGAGAGTGTGTGAATATGAAAATACATGTGTGTATGTGTGTGCACGAATGAAGATACGGTGTGATATGGGTAGAGCTATAGTTAAGGCCGCCTTGCATTAAGGCAGATAGGTGCGAGAGAATAGAAATATTAAGTGATGCTGCGACGTAGATGATTAAAAAATTTGGTCTTAAAGTCCTTTTGATTGGTGGCAGAACGAATCTCAAGGGGAATCCCATTCCATAGTTCCGCAGCAACACATCTGAAGGATTTTTTAAAGAGTACAGTGCGGCACAGAGGTAGTGCGAGATAATCCTGAGGAGCCCTGGTGTTACAAGCCGAGACATTGCCGCGAGTCTTGAAGACACTGAACAGGTCGATAGCTCTTTCCGATAGTAGAATATTGAAGATCAGGCATCCCACGAAGTATTTCCGCTTTGCTTTGATTTTCAACCAATCAAGTCTGTCAAAGAAAGGTGTGATGTGCTCATCTCTCTTTACCCGAAAGACGTATCTGACGTAGGCATTGCAGGCTCTTTGCAGTCTTAAATTGTGTTCACTGGTGATATCCGTTAAGACAGTACAGTAATAGTCGAACACCGGAAAGATCAATGCTGCGACTAATCGTGCACGAAGAGGCTGAGGAAATAGATGACCACAAAGCTTAAGTTGATATCGCGCTGCATTTACCTTAGCACAAGTTTTGGTGACTTGATTGTTCCAAGATAGTGTTCGAGATATAGTGAACCCTAAGTACACCACGGACTCCTTATATGCAATCGGGACATTATGCATCACAATCCGAGGAAGGTCACCAAATACAATATTGTTTATGAATCTGGCGGTACCAAGAATCATAGCCGTAGTTTCGCTGGCATTTAGCGACAGATGATTGTTGGTTGCCCAGTTTGCAACATTATTAATATCCTCATTGACCTTCAGTATAGATCTTTTGGCTCAGCATGAAGATCGTCCGCGTAGAAATTATATTTGCAATGCCTTAGTACTTCGCCGAAGTCAGACAGGTATAAAACAAAAAGTAGTGGTCCAAGCACAGAGCCCTGAGGCACTCCCTTAGTCATCGTCTTCTCAGAGGAGATTTCACCCGAGACCGGATCACGTACCGCCTGTCTTCTTCGATTCAGGTAGGCACACAGCCATCTCAGTGACGCGCAGGAGAAGTGTAATTGTTTCATCTTACGGATCAATAAAATGTGATTAACGTTATCAAAGGCCTAAGTGAAGTCAAAAAATACTGCAACAGTTATTCTTCTAGAATCAGCTGCTAAACGTATATCATCCATGATTTTTATTAATGCCGTTTGCGTGGAGTGACCTTTTCTGTATGCTGCTTGATGCGGATCCAACAAGTCGAAGGCCTCAAGATGATTCACGATCTGTTCTTACGCAAGAGAGAGAGAGAGAGAGAGCAGAAGGGGGAGAGAGAGAGGGATGGAGAGAGAGAGGGAGAGAAAG